CCAACTTTTTGACTTGCCTGGGCCATGTTGAGTGAAAAGGAATCTCTTGGACCGCTTATAAAGCATGCAGTATAGTTAACAAAAAATATGATGTAGTTAATGCATCTGGTTTGCAAAACTTCTATGTAAGTATTTTTGATTAAAACATGAAGAAGGCAGGAAAAGTATAAGACTAGAAGGTTGGGCACTTATGTGCTTAGGGATTTAAAACATCTGTGATTAGATTTCTGCTTTAGATTACTGTCTGGTAGTTAAGAATGGACAAAATCTAATAAGCTCTGTTTAATTGTCCATGGTGGAAAAAGATAGTTTTACATGGTTATCAGCTATGTGTGAGATTCCAGGTGTTTGAGGTATCAAATGCAACTTAAGAAAAAAGATAACTGATTTCTTTGGACTAATGAAAGTGGGCCTTGCCTGCTTAGATTTGAAATAGTAACCCACAGTAAACTGTTCTTGAATTTGCAAATGCTGGTAATGAGCACAGCAATAGTAAGCAGGATAAAGGGCTGACTGAAGGTGATGTTCAAAAGAAAGTGACAAGGTGGAGAATGACTAGATGGGGCTGGTTAGAGTAGTGGGGCTGGTCTTGAGAGTTGTATTTAATGTATTTTCTGGTGTGCTGAGATGAAAATCCTAGATAGGATGTTTTGCCATTGCTGAGGGAAAATGGGTTGTCATTCAAAAAGAATCAGCCTCACTTCTTGACTTGCTTGTTGATAACTTGGTATAATTGAATAGCATACAATGTCAAACTGTACAGTTCGGCCTTAGTAATAACTTCACCTATATGCTGAAGGTCTATGAACCAAAAGGAACTGAGGAGGAAATTAACTTGAGTGTACTTCTTGCTCGAAGTGGAAGGATTAATATATTAGACGAAGGCATATACTTACTGCAGAAAAGGTAATGCAGTCCTGGAAGGAAAGAGCTTCGTAACAGAGAGAAAGAAATATTGAAACCTTTCTACAAGAAGCACCAACTCCTTTTGAGTCTTTCTTGAAATGTATTCTGATGAACAAACTGTGGCAGGTGCAAAGAAGAGCTGCCAGGATGAGCGAGGGAATGAAACTCCATCTTGCAAAAGGAAATGAGAAATGCCTCCTACCCAACCAAATGGAGGTTGCTAGGCAGAAGGATCATTAAATATAATGAGAGCAAATATTGATAGATGGATAGGTTTGGTTTCCGTGCTCACGGAGCCCTTAGCCTCCCTACATAGATCACTAACAGAGCGACCCACTGCTGCCTGCTGAGGTGAGTGGTTGCTGATGGGAGGTGAATGCTGACTGATGGGAAGGCCAGCAGACCTCAGAGCTTTTGCACGTGATGCTCACGAGGATTGCCAGTAAAGCTGTATTTCTGTCAGAACTGTAAAAAGTGTTCAGCCTTTTAAAAAAAAAAAAAAAAAATCATGGCATTTACAAAGTCTTGCCTGCAGTATCGCTTACAAAAGGAGGAAGAATCTTTCCTTTGGGATCTGGCTGGAACTCCTCTGTCTGGCCTTTTTGAACTCAGCCCTGGTGGTATCACAGCCTCCCCTTGCCTGCATGGCTCACTGGGTGCAGCTCTGTGCCCAGTCGGGCCTTGATAGCTCTGTAAGTGCAAGTGCTGGTGACATCACGCTCCCAAGGGTGTCAGCTATTAGCTGCTAAAAATAGCTCCAGGCACACAGTAGAAAAATCAAATGTCTCTTTCAACCACTAGTGAATGGGAAGGTAAAGAGAGAGCTCAGCAGAGGTGCTTTTTGCTTAAATACAAGGGCAGCAGTGTTGCACCACGACACTGGCAACTGCTGCAGGTGGTGCTTCAGGACTGTGAGCTGGGGAAGCCTGCAGGGACAAGTTCATCCCTGATGTAATTCCAGCACTGTGATGGTAAGTGAGCTTTTGTGTTTATTTCCCACTGGCTCAGTTATCTTGCATTTTGCAGCTCTTAATGAAAATTAGGCTATGGGATTCACAGCACTGGAATGATGTCAGTATTACTGCCAATATAATCACTGCTCTATGCAAAAAATGAAACAAAGCAATATTAATACAGTAAAATGAAGCATTCTGAGAAATATCACAGAATTACAGAATTGTAGGGGTTGGAAGGGACCTCCAGAGATCGAGTCCAACCCCCCTGCCAAAGCAGATTCCCTACACCAGGTAGGGATATATATATATCATACAATATAAACTATATACAGGCATAAATGGTACATCTAGATTCCAAGCTGAAGTAAATATCTGCTCAGCATGTGTTTAGAGGCTCTTTGGTGTGAGTTGTTTGAGATTGCTTGCAACCTTTAGGCCTTGATTTTACAGATCTAGGAGCTAAGATGGAGAATTCCGTGTTTGTGATATTAGCTAGGTGGTTCAGATAAAATACAGCTTGATCTGCTCCAAGTTAAAATTGATTCTGATAAAGTGCATATAAATGCAGAGGTGATATAACATGAAAGTTAAGATGAAAGTAGGGCTGGGTGTCTCACAATCTTTGAAAACTCCACATCCTGGAGTTTTTATACTAATTAGGTCACAATCAGACATGTTGGTCTAGGCTTATCAGTGCTTCTAGCCTGAGCTGCTCATAGCAGTCTTCGCTACACTTCTTACTCTGTCTAAGGGCTGGCAGGATCAGAAACATGAGGGCTGGGACTCTTCCAGCCAAACACAAGGGATTTTCACTCCAAGTTACAAACACATGGGCTTGAAACTCCCTCGGCTAAAGTATAAGCCTTTTCTCACCTGTTTGGAGTCACCAACATGTGGTGAGTTGCAGCTGTCAGAACCTGCTTGTAACTACAAGTGATTAGGGAGAACAGCCTATTCTCCCTGAAGCTATTGCATCCTGGTCCCCAAAACTGCCGGGTCTGTTTGCAGCCAGAACTCTGGCTGAGAACAAAGGTCTGCTGCACCTGCAGAGCCCAGCTCATATCTCTGCCAACTGCAGCCTTTCCAAGAGGGAATGCAATTCCCTCCAAGATCCAATTATGTGAACTTTGTGAAGTATAGAATAGTTTGATTTTTACCCTGTGTTCTTCCTTTAAATGATGATATCTCTAAAAGATATTCCCATCCTTCCATTATTTCATCGTGCTGATTCATCCGTTCGAGATTGTTCAGAGCAGGGATTGATTCTGCCATATTTCTGCTGGCAGAATTTTTTTTTTTTTTTTTTTTTTTTTTGTAGGTCTGCTTGGTAACTGTCATAGATAAAAGTGAAGAATCCCTGGTCCTTGACTTGCTTGTTGTGACATGTAAGGTAGAAGTACCTTGCCGTTACAAATTGCAAGGCAGGGACTGATGTATGAATGGTTCTGTAAAATTACATTGTTTCTGTTTTCCGTAAGAATTAGACAGTGATTGTGACATTCCCTTTTGTCCTCTAAAAATGAGAATTTACAACTTTAATGATGTTCCTCCATCAGATACAGAGTTTACAATTGTAATGAATTTGATTTTTTTTTAAGAGCATAGATTTTAGTTGTGACTGTGGTGTTTTGAGTGCAAACAGACGTGCAGTCAGTTTCTTCAGTCTGCAAAACAGACAAAGAAGAAACTGTGGAGGAGATTCTTCAGTTACAGTGGCAGAAGGGTCAAAATAAAATCATAATAAACTTGTGGTGAACTCTTGCGTGAGTGACTTGTAATTTAAGTTGGGGACTAATTTAGGTAGCTACTTAAAAGTAACTGAAAGAGTACTGTCTGAAAGAAACTGACGATAAGGAATAGAAATACAGAGAAGTTTTTAGAACATGAAATGCATTATTTTTTAGCAGACTGTGGACTTTTTCCTTAGCAAGTTTTCCTACCACATACATTTTCCTTGCTGTATCCCCCAGAAGGCTGAATGCTGCTCTCTCCTGCAGACAACGCAGCAGCACCCTTATTTTGTACTAGTGAAACACTTTTCCATTCACAAGCTATTTCAGTATTCCAGAGCGTCTTGCTGCTCTAGCATTGCATTTGTCTGAATTTCAAGTAATTTCATTCGTAAAAAGATTGTTCTCTCTTGGTTTGGGGTTGCTATCAGGGATGAAGGCACATGTAATAGCACAAACCACCAAGATCTTCAGGCAGACCTTTTGTCTGCTTAGGGCTTTCACTGATGGCCTCGATGCTAATAAAAATGACTGCAGAATAAAATATCCTCTGTAAAATATAATTTCCTTCTGCAATGCTGATGTAGCATGCACATCGTGCATCATCTATGGGTGATAACGCTGTATCCTGTGTGTTATGCTCTCAGGGTTAAACAAAGATGCTTATGAAATATTCTTGGCACGAGGGAGAACTACTTGGGCCTTAGGTTTGACTTCAGTTGAGTGTTCAAACCCTTTTGTGTACAAATGGACGTGATATGTATGGAGAGTATCTCAGTTTCAATAGAAGCAGAATGGAAAGCTATATTGTGTAAATGGCTGGGAATGGATTTATCTGTGTTTGTTAGAAAATTTTGGGAGAGAGGACTTTTAAATATCGTAAGAATTGGGGTAAAATTATTGTTAAAATATCCATGGAAATACATAATTTTCAGTTTTATGCATCCCAAGCTAGACCATGTTGCCAACTCAACAGGGTGGGCTGGGAATGTGTTTAGATCCAACAGCAGGAAGCTGAGTTTGGACAGATTTTAACTGGAAATGAGGCACGTGTATCTGTTTCCATGGGCCATTAAGCACTGGCATAGCTGCACAACAAACGTGGGGTATTCCACGTGCACAGTAAATTGGTGGCTTAGCTACACAAGACTCATGTGTCATCTGAGTTAACTGACATTAACAAGGTGAAGGATCTGATGTAGAAACTGCTTAGGGAATAATGTTGACTCTTGTGCTGTAAAATGTCAGACTGAAAATTGGTGTAGTGTCTCTGGCTGGAAATTATATGAGCCTACAGCCATGGCTCTGTCCTGTTTGTGCACAGCAGATAGAATAAGGGAAGGGTTTTCTTCTGTTGCATAAGAAGATGTTAATGGCACTGTCTAACCAGGAATTTTCACACAATTAGGTAGCGTCACATCTTCGCTCATCGCCGAGACTATTTGCCACGAGATTTCTGACTTCAGAAGAAGGGCATCCGCATTAAAAAGAAATCTGAAGATTGTCTAATGTGAGTTTGTGAGAGAATCCTTATCCAGGAAATAGTGTTGTCAGCAGCACTGTTTGAATTAAAGCTGCAGATTGGATCTACTCCTTCATGCTGATCTCAACTTTTATGTAGGACATAAATTGAATACATTACATTTTCTAACACGCCAGGCCAGCAGTCTCTGACGCAAATACTAAAGCTGAAGTAAATAGGAGCTGGCAGTGTTTTCCAGCCTGAAGTGTCAGAGAGTTTGAAACTTCAGGTGCTGAATGTAAATGTAGTGGAGATGTCCTAGTTGAAAGATGTCTCAAAAATACACCCAAAGATATATATTGAACTGAGAATTCTCTCTGGAATCAGCAATTACTGCTAGCGTTGTGCCAACCCAGCAAAGGAGCCTTTTGATGTATTTCAAGAAATGTGCAAGTTCAGTGTCCTGTAGCTGTGTCCGTAAGCACCAGACTCTCAGGCAGGAAAAAAAATGAAGGCGTTTTTTTCGTTGTTGTTAATTGTTAACTTTGCACTCTTGTGCCTTCCTTCCTCTCTCAGCTTCCTTTTTGCATTGCTAGGTTTCATCTTCACAGTGTTTGCCTACAGGCGTCCTTTTTCCTGTGAACACAGAGAGCCCCAAAGAACAAATAAACTTTTTTAAGTTGCTGATCCCGCACGTTTGCAAATTCACTGGGAGATTTGGCTCCCATGTAAGGACAGAAGGATCCGGCTCCTAGGGAATAAACGTCAGGAACATGAAAAGAAAAGCCTTAGCAGGCACTGGCGCTATAAGAACAAAGAGTGCTTCCAAACGGCACTAGTGAAAACCACTGGGAGATGTGAAATAGTCTGACAGAAGCAGTAAGAATGATGGTTCTGAGTCAGGCACTGAATCAGGCAAAGAAAAAAAAAAAAAGAAATCCAAGTGAATTAAAGCCACTTATATTCCTGGAAATGAATTATTTCCTTTTTATCAAAAAGGGAAAAAAGACGAAGAGGTTAAGAATGTAATTATACATTGCAGAAAGAATTATATGGCAATTTCTGTCTCCCAGGCTTGCAGTCGGTGTACCAACCAAGCTCTGCCGTGCTGGCTGCCTTTTTGTAGTGTGTCTCAGCAGCTCTGCTTGTGCTGCCTATTTACTTTTCAGTACTTCCTCTTGGAGACTTTCTTTTACTTCATGCTTTTAGTAATCTTTTAGAGGAAGCTCTGGGTATTATTTTGTGTCCAGAATAAACAGCGCAGCAGCGTAAGCTTCTATGCATAGGCTCTCTACTTCTCCTGTGAGTTTACAAATATTGCAGAAAAACAAACTGATCACAGAAATAGTGTTTTGAGACCCAACCACTAAAAACTAGTGCTGAGGACTTCGTTCTTTGCTTTGCCAATGAGTTCATGTGTATCAGTTGTATAATTTACTCTTTATGTCATGAAGACCTTCGGTGAAATACAAAGCCTATGAACCATCTTCCCCCCCCTTCCTATCTCAGACTGAGAATATTTTCATTCCATTCATCTCTGCTTAGATGCAGGGTGTCTGGAGGCTGCTGCAGAGTGTCTGTTTTCAATGCACGCCGGCGTTTTGCCAGTCATGTGTCACGAGGGAATGTCCTCCCATCAGTATGAACAATATGGCCATGAAAGGAGGTGAACAATAACTGCATTGTGTCCTCCAGAAGGTGGATGGAAGTTAAAGGAAATATGTTTTTGTGCACTGTACTTTAGGGTCTTGTGTATCACTTACACAGTGCTGCTAGATGTGCTTCCTAGTGTTTGCAAATGAAATTAAGTCAAGGTTGTAAACAAGAAAATTGTATTTATGTGTTTTTTTGATTGATGATGATAGAAGCATCATAAAATGCTGAAAAAGAGCAGCTATAAGGAACCTGATCACCAATATGCATTTATCAACCACGATGTTAAGCAGTTAACTTGATTCTGTCTGGACTTACTGGGAACATCCTTTTTGTGGCTTTTCTTGATGGATGGAAGTTGATTGGAAATAATTATATTAACATTCAGTTATTCATAAAGCCATCATTTAATAATAAAAATCTCTGCCTATGAAGGCATTTGGGTTGCTACACTTAACATTGGCATACCCAGGCTCCTGTCCTCTGGTCACAGATGAGGGTCCCTGTCATTCTTAATTGCCTGGAGAGCAGAAAAGGGCACTTCCTGCAAGTTTTCTAGCTCTCATGTGATGCCCAGATGTAGGTGAGCCCCTGCTACGTCACACAAACCACTGGGTAAAATCAACCAGAGCCCAGTTACAATTTCAAAAACAATCCCAGATGTTTTATGGGGTTGCAAGCTGCTTTATCCTTCATTATCCAAAATAAATAATTTCATTCTTGCTACTTCTCTTGAGGGAAGAGTTAGAAATTGCTTCGTTAGGGTTGAGGGATGCCCAGGAGATAACTAGAAAAAACAATCTACCAGTGGCATGGCCACCTGCAGCTGTGTATGACTGTGACTGGTGGTCCCCTGGAGCAGAGCTGCAGCACAGGGAAGGCAGGGACAGCCTGGTCCAGGACAAAGCAAGGTGAATGAGAGAAAAACAGGAAGGGGAACAGTGGGAAGAATTAGTCTTTATTTTGTGTGCTGGAAAGATCAAACTGTATTGCAGTGTTCCTGTGTTTTGAAATACGTTTTGTTTTGGGACCTGACTCTCCTTATGCCATCAGTTTAATAGACAGTGATGCAAATGGAAGCATCAACCACTTGCTTGTCTGCTCGTGCAGACAAACATTTATGTTGGATGGTTGCTTTTTAGCACAGTAGTGATCCAACAGTGCTAAAATGCCATTTGCTATGCTGTATCAAGGGAACCAGATATCGCTGTAGCCACATCATCAAATTGCATTACAGCCCTTGGTCTAATGATATTTGTATAGATCTTCAGCTCTCCACTGTTTGTTGCTCATCACAGTAGGCTGAAGATAATCACACAGAGACACTGTCCCATTTGGTGTTCTTTTCCTCCACCTTAGCTAATCATCTACAATGCACACAGAAGCCAGCATAATCCGACTTCTCTGGTTGATTTCTTTATTTTTCTTTCTTTTAGCAGAGATACTTGAGAGATCAATGAGGTTATTGTGCCTGGTGCATTGCTCAATTCCCCAGCTTCCTGTTATGGTGGGATCTAGCAGGAAACTTCAAGAAATCCAAAGAACAGTCAAATCTCTGCTTCATGCTCCAGAGTCCTGCCCTGCCTATGTAACAGGGAAGGTCGAACAATGTGTAGCCTTAAAAGATTAAGTATCTTTTAAGTACTGTATGTTTTGTTCCAATTGACACAATGCTGGGCTTCATATTAGCATTGCTGGGTGCCCTTGTTCTCTCTACTTCAGCAATGCCCACTTAAATAAATAAACAAATAAATAAATAAATGCTCATTAGGAAGGAATTAGGATTGCTAATGATTTTAATCATTATAACTGCGCAATTTGACCAGCTATCTTAAATTCAGTGTGTTTACTCTTAAGATTCAAAATGTTATATTGATAATTTAAACAATTGTAGGGGATGCACTGTTATATTGACCTTGCAAGAGTTATTAAACATAATAAATACAGTATTTACTTGCTGGAATTGAAAGGTTAGCAGTTCAGTCTTTTGGTGCTTCAAATGGTAATCATTGGGAAAGCAGCTCTTCTTTAATGTAGCTGTCAGGCTGATGGGTTACAGAAGAAACAGATTCCCAGCTATGCAGGGGCTAGGAATCAGTAAAAGATCAAATGACCCAGTTTCATCAGACCATCAAAGAGTGAGACTTGAATTCCCTGAATTCAATTTGTTTTTTTTTTTCTGCTTGCTCACTTAGGCTGGTCCTAACCACACGTTCATAATAAATTTGTAATTAACTCTTGAGCTATTACTCATTCCAGGATGGCACTGAACATCAAGTAGCTGTCACTTATAAGGCAGCAGAGACTTGAATAGAAATGCAACTGCCTTTTTTTGACAAATGCTTTGGGTTTATTAAGAACACTTTGACAGGAGATACAATTCTCTGTTAGTGAAGGTAGCAACTGATTCTGGCATTTTCCTAATGGGAGCTTTTCCAGGGGTATTTGATGTAAGCAAATATCTCTGAAAATTGGCAGTGGAAGCAGTTGGATCTTGTCTGAAGCCTTGTCTAAAAAAAACCACCTGTGTGTGTGCCACAGTTTAGATCAGATTGTACAACTTTATTGATTCCTGACCTTGTGTCCCTGTCTGTCACTCAGCCTCCACTGCTCTGAACCATCATTACTCTGGATCCATGTTTTCAGCTTGCTGAGACACTGGGGACCCCACTGCAGAGGTGCCCCTGCTCTGCTGCCTGGTGTGGGCAGACACATTGGCCAGGGGAAGAAGCAAAAATCCCAAGAGGAGCAAGGCCTTTCAGTTTTTGAGTTCTTATTCCAAAAGTCTTTTGAGTCAGCAGCTGTGGGCCCTTCCCAGCTCTGGAGGGAATGCCAGATCAGTGCCGTGAGCGAACAAGGTGTGTGCGGGGGTGGCTGCTGCTCTGTCACTTGTGAGAAGCTTTATTCTAAAAAATGCCTCTTTTTGCTGTCACCGTTGCCAGTGTAACAGAGACCTGAATGCTTCACAGGAGCTGGTAATGGTTTACAGAGGCTTCCTTGTTCATGGCCACTGGCCCTGCTAAACAAGCCCAGATCATTAGTGTCTGGAAGCTGGAAGCCTGTTAGGGTAGCCTGATGGATGATGTGAATGTTCCTGAGCCTCATTTCTAGCAAAAAAAATGTCATGCATAGTACATTGTCCCTCACTGACACACATGAAAGCTAGGCTGGTGCATCCACCAGCACTGAGATGGCACCTGGGGAAAAGAGAAAAAAGAATGCCTTGGCTAGTGGCAGGGGGTTGGAACTTGATTATCCGTAAGGTCCTTTCCAGCCCAAGCCATTCTATGATTCTTTGATTCTGAGGGACGCTGGCACCTTCTGGGAAAAGAGATACAGAAGAGTGTGAATGATTTCCTTCAGAAGTTTGGACCAAAGCCTTGTATAAATGAGGAAAATCATTAACACACAATTAGCAGTTATGTAGTTATAATGGGAATTACTTTTTCTTAGCAATCTCTAATTTATTTTATAATGTTTTTACATTCTCTCTCTCCCCCCCTTTTTTTTTTTTTTGAGCCTCATACTGGCCATTTTCACTTTGCTTATGTG